CTTCTTCCTGGGGCGCTCGCCCTCGACATCACCAGGGTCATCGCGGCTGATCTTATAGCGCAATGCACCACATACTCGGCAAGCGTTCAAATCCTCGTACTCACCGCGGTAGAGGATGCAATCATTAGGGCATGCATGTATCTTCTGCACCTCTAACCCTAGAGGGCAGACAACCTTCTTTGCTTCGTACGTACTCTCAGGCAATTCGTTGTCCTTTGGAAGCATATTCTTTATCATTACCAACAACTTTCGAAATCCCTTGTCAGATACACCATTCTCTGCCTTCCATTGTAGCAATTCCAGTGTGGTGCCCAGCTTTTTCTTGTCGCCTATGCAATTCGGGTACAACAATTTTTTGTGATCCTCTAACATGCGCTGCAACTTCTTCTCCAAATCACTTGCGAAGTTTATCTTTGCATCGGCAATGGCCCGACCTAGATCATCAACGGGCTCATCCGATGCCTCTTCTTCAGCTTCTTCCCGCATTGCCGGCTCAACTTCTTCCCGCATTACCGGTTCAGCTTCTTCCCTCATTGTTGTATCATCGTATTCAGGGAACCCATGGCCAGGATAGCTGTCGTCGTCCTCTTCTTCTTCATTGTCTTCCATCATAACCCTCTTTCTCCGTGCTTGGTCCAAACATTATAGTGGGGGATGAAACAGGACTCAAACAGGTGGACGTGAATGGTTCTTGACGTAGAGTAATTGTGACCATTCTTACAGCCAGCACATGGACAAGGCATAAAACCATCCGCCCGCTTGTTTGCCTCAGCCGCAAGCAGAAAAGTATGAACGCCATTAATGAACTCGGGAGAGCATCGGTCATCGTACATCCATTGCCGACTCATCTTCAATACACAACACCGAAAACACCTAATTAATACAATACATAAATTTCATACATAAAGTTCATACAACACTTAAATGCAACAAACAAATAACTCTCTAGCTAAAGAATTTAAATGCAACAACAAATGCGATCAAGATCGCAACTAAGGTAACAATTGATCCAACAGCATAATGATACCAAGCCTCACTATGAATGACATATTTTCTAATCTTTCTAATCTTTAAGCGCATTTTCTCCATCTTAATCTTGTGATCATCGACGACATCAGCAACATGCAACTCCAATTCCATCTTCTCCCCCTCAATTCTTTTCAATTTTTCTTTCAAATCCTCGTTTTCTCTTTCAACTAAATTTAACCTCTCGACAATAGGGTCGGTTGGAATTTACGGTTCAACTACCTCCTACATACAAATATCTATGTCAGCTTGATGGGCATAATTTGTCATAAACATGAAATGCAACAAATAGTTTGAAAAGAGAATATACCACATCCAAATCATAACAAGGACGAGGGCCGACGGAGACGGATATCAAAACCATGGCACTATGTATAAAAAACAACGTAAGGGTAAGATAATTATACGAGTAACTATATATCCATATCACACAAACATCCATTTTTTATATAAAATTTCATGAACAAGAGGCTCACCACAAGGTGGTGCCGGCGACGGGATGGTGCGGGCGATCGACGGTGGTTACGATGGAGATTTAGAAGGCACTAAGTAAACCACACCTACATATGCAAACTAAGTGTTATTTTGACCTCAATTTGCATAAAAATCAAATACTACCACATATAATTCCTCCCAAATTACTAAAACCCACAATTAATCACTATATAAACCAATGCAAGAGCTAATCTAGCAATGAGAGATGAAAGGACAAAGTTGCTAACCTTTGTGATCATTTGAATGGATGGGGGCCGCCAAATCTTGACAAATTTGGGGCAAATTTTGTGATGAACTCGAGAGGAAGAAGGGAAGAACAGAGGAGAGGGAGAGGGGAAAGGGGGAAGAACAGAGTGCTGGTGGACGAAGGGTTTATATAGGACGACCTTTAGTACCGATTCGTGGCACGAACCGGTACTAAAGGTGCTGGAGGGGCCCCACTTTGACAACATCCTGTCACCACTCTCATTAGTACTGGTTCGTGGCACGAACCGGTGCTAAAGGTTCGCCACGAACCGGTACTAAAGATCTCCTCCCGCCTAGCGGTTGGAACCGGCACTAATGGACACATTAGTGCCGGTTCTGTTACAAACTGGGACTAATGTGTCTCACATTTGACCCTTTTTCTACTAGTTCTCCTTCGTCGTTTCCTTTGAAAGTGCTAGTGATCGACTAGAGGGGGGAGGGGGGTGAATAGGCGATTTTTATGAAAGTCTTCAAAACATGAAAGTTTCGAAGACAAACGATAGAAATAAACCTATTTACCATGCAGCGGAAGGTAGACTACACTAAGCAAGCCATAGTCATGTATTCAATAAAGTGAAAGCACAATGACTAATAGCAGCTAGGCAGTATAGATTAGGTAGGAAGATAGTGTGAAGCCAATCAGAACAATCAATTACTCAGTGAAGATAAAAGATAATGGAATGACTTCACCAGGGCCAACAGTAAGTAAAGGAATGGGAAGGACGAAACCAGTGACTCGTTGAAGACAATGATTTGTTGGACCAGTTCCAGTTGCTGTGACAACTGTACGTCTGGTTAGGGAGGCTGAGATTCAACTCAGAAGACCGCGTCTTCACCTTATTCCCCTTGAGCTAAGGACACCCAGTCCTCACCCAATCACTCTAGTAAGTCTTCAAGGTAGACTCCCAAACCTTCACAGACTTTGTTCACCGGCGATCCACAATGACCCTTGGATGCTTAGAACACGACGCCTAACCGGCTGAAGGATTCACAGTCCTCAAGTGTAATAAGTCTTCAGATCACACAGACAGGAAGACTTCAGTGATGCCTAACACTCTTTGGCTTTGGGTGGTTAGGCCTTTATCCTCGCAAGGAATTCTCTCTCAAAGGCTTCAAGGTGGGTTGCTCGCAAACGACAAAAGCCGTACACTAACTCTGAGCAGCCAATCGTTTATGGTTGTAGGGGGTGGGCTATTTATAGCCACTAGGCAACCCGACCCGATTTGCTCTCATTGTCTTCGCTCGAAGACATATGATTTTGGTTGAGCATCACTTCAGTCACTCTGACTTTGTTCACTTGGACCCCACTTAACAGTACGATGGTCCCTATGACTCAACAAAGAAGAAAAGGAGACAACAAAACAACTAAGTCTTTGCGCCCCATAGTCTTCACGCAATGTCTTCTCTTGTCATAGTCTTCAACGTGAATATCTTCACATACCACCATTGTCTTCAATGTCTTCATACATTTTTAGGGGTCATCTCCGGTAGATAAACCGAATCAATGAGGGACTACTACCTGTGTTATCCTGCAATTCTCACAAACACATTAGTCCCTCAACCAGGTTTGTCGTCAATACTCCAAAACCAACTAGGGATGGCACTAGATGCACTTACATCCTTGGCGATCAGGTGTTAGAGAACATCCATCGGCATCACCGAGTAAATCACCGACGCGGCCTGCCGATCCTTCCGGTGCTCGGCTCCCTCCTTCTTGAACGCGTCGCCTCCTGGATCGACCGCGTCCCATAACTCGTTGGCGCGGAGACCACACTCCATGAGGGCCTTCCAGACCCCGAAGTTATCACGATCAAATCGTGGGTACGACGAACTTACCGGAGCAGCAATTACTTTAGCCGCACCGGAGTACTCCGTCAGCTGCTTGTTCTTCTCGTTGTCCGCCATGATCCTCCGTTACTAGAAGATCAACCTTGCTTTGATACCAATTGTTAGCACAAATCCCCTGTACGTTGCTCGTAAACGAGTTCTTTCCGTCGAGAGTACACTTGTAGTCATCGGACCGGCCGAGTTACTTTTACGGATGGACGTAGACTGTCTACGCACACGTACAAGTAAACAAGCAAACAAGCAGCCTGCTGGATAGATTTGCTAAGGTGACTAGCTAGCTTCGTACGCTAGCTGGATCGAGTCGCCGGCAGGACAAACACACGCGAGACAAATACGCCGAGTTGGATGGCCACAGGACCGTATCGGTCCTATCGGTCCTGATCTTTGTTTGTATTGCTTTGAACTCAAGTTGCAAAGATTACAAGGGGTATGAGTATATATAGGAGTAAAGCTAACTAGCCTAACCCAATACGACTCGGTGTCCTGTTCACGTCCGAGCCGGACTGTGACTACGTGGTTATTTCCAACAGCCCCCTCTTTCCCTGAGATGCCCCCCTGCAAAGTAATAACATGGCCCGTGTCTATGACATGTGGACTCAGACCCCGCGTGTCATAGAAATGGCATATGTCAAAGTCGTGCATTTTTTTTTTGCAGGGATAAGTACATGTCTGTCCCTAAATTCAATGTTCACCACAACAGTTTCAGAAGTAGAAAAAAAGAACCTCTGCATTCATGTTTCACGTATGACTGCTTAAGTCCAAGAATTTATTGTGTCTTGTTGAATTTGCAGTTGCACTAATGCATTATCTTAATATTGTGCTTCTCCTTTTTTTGCGGGGTAAATACTTGTATTTGTCAACCAATACCAGGATTACAATCAACTTTGCTAAGTTCAAGTGCTACTGGTGGACCAGAGAGCCACACTACAGTTCTCTTTTCAGTTCTAGCAAAGTTTGCCAAATAGTTTGCTACAATATTTTGGCTACGCTTAATCATTGTTTTAAATATGGGCTATGCCAAATAGCGACGGTCCTCCAAATAAGCTATAGCGAGGCCATAGCCGGCTATTTCATAACTTTTTCATAGAATTGTACATGAATTCTATAGCCTATCATTTAGCGGCACCCTGCACAAACTGCTATAGCGGGGCTATAGCCAACTATTTAAAACTTTGCGCTTAATACAAGTTTTATAAAGAGAAAGCAAATATTTAATCTCTCCCACTAACGAAGCTAACACCGACCTATCATGGTCATTATCCTTTAGTAAATTCACCATTGATATTGGTGCTTATCGCCTAATAGAAGAAAGGAAAATCCTTATATTTTGCATTTAGCCACATTTATTTGGCTTGACTGTGAAAATCAATGGCGCCTTCTTACTGCTACATCTGTGCAATGTCCTTGTTATACTGATCTATCCATGCATGCATGATCTCAACTTCCTGTCTCCTTTGTTCTACAACCCATTCTGGATCATCCTTGGTTGCAGATCTCAAGTCCAAATGATGGGCCCCTGAACATGACCACCACAAGAAGTAGCCAATGTAAGTCAGTTGCAGAATACTTTTGAGCTTTCATATTTTCTTTAAATTCATGTTTACCTTTCTCCGTCACAAGAGCAATGATGCTGGATGATATGTTCTTCAGTACTCTGGTAGAAGTTTGGAAGGAAAACTATTATTATTCTTTACTGTGGGTAAAATTGCTACCTCTGAATGGTCGAAACTATCGTCATCAATAGATCAGATGGTGAAATCTTGTACTCCTACCCGCCTCGACTCCACGGGTCTCGCATCCCGTTGGAGAAGATGATGTTGCTCCCAAACCTCTTGAGAACCTTGTCAATATTCTGCAGTGGGTTGTGCAATGCATGCAGTACCAGGTGAGCACATGCCACACAAAGAAATGCTGCTACTAACGGTTCGTATGCAAACACTGAAAATCTGAAACAAAAACTTACATGGCCACCATATTCAGTAGTGATCCAATGTATCCTCGGACGAACTCTGTAGTACGTGAGGCAGCCCTCGGAATTGTTCTCGTAACTGAAGCTGAACGGTGGGAACATGCTCTCATTGGACACGATCATCGGCATGACCATCTCTGTGCAGGCCTGCACAAGAGTTTGTTTCAGCAAACACAAAAATGATCCTCTCAAGCTTCCAGTGTTATCACTTATGTGAGTCAGGCTTGTACCTGCCAACCCCAGCCATCGAGGTCATGAGGGTCATCGCCACCCTCCATCTCAAAGCATTTCTGGTCGCCTGAGTAATTGTAGTACAGGCTCGCCGCGGCGAAAGCTTTGTCGATGACGTCTGCTCCCGCGGGAAAAGAATCAATGATCTTACACATCTGCAGAAATGTCAGGAGAAATGCTCAGCAGGTAATAAAAACAGGTTCACGGAATCAGTTTGGTAGCTCTGAGTAATGCAGGCGAGAATAAGGGTTATAAGGTAGTAGGTTACAAGTGGCTAACCTCCTTCACAGGGTAAGCAGGCAGATTCATCATGAAATTGGCTGGGGTCGGATAGTCCACCATGGCGGTGTAGGTGAATGCATTCCATAGCCAGTTACTCAGCGAATCAGCGGACTGCACGGTCCTAAAAGTTGAGGGATAACACAACGTCATGAACCCGGGTCAGTAATCATCCATTCGTTCAAGCGCTGTTCATTAGTTCACCACTCAGGCAATCTTGTCAAGATGAGGCTTTCATATTCAGTCATGTATGCAACCCGAGTCGCATATCCTTTGGACTTAATGTACATTCTCTTATCTTTCAAGTCGTCTTTTTTCATGTATTTATTGCCTACAAGGTTTTGACTATTTATTTGCTTTACTTACACTTCACACATAGAAAAAAATTACCTGCAGTCTTAATCTCTTATATTTTTTCTCCCTACAGTAATGAATTTTATACTGTGGGGTTCTCCCCAACGGTTTTCATTCAAAAAAAAATTTTATCAGTTGCACAAAGCTTACTTGCAGGCCCTGAATGTTTTGCTGAGCTCCAAGAGGCCTGTGTGGTTGGATCCCCGATCATCAAGCACATCCCAGACCGCCTTGATGACACTGAAGCAATTCAGGCTCTCAGACTGCAAAAATTAGTTGGATGTCACAAATACATTTATCTTTTTGGAAAGTTGACATGGGACAGCTATTAATCAAGCATCAATCAGACAAAGATGCCACTACAAAGTGACTCATCGTTCCTTTCCCTTGTCATATCTTGTCTCTACCGTATTAGTAATAGCTGTGTCATCAAGCATCAATGATGAAGAAAATACATCAATTTGCATACAAGTGAGGACCTTATATCTTGTCTCTACCATATTAGTAATTGCTCTTTGGTGCGGTTGAGCGTCGCAAACTCGCAATCAATCTAATCAAAAACTGAATCATTACTTCATTAGCCATTTCAATCACGAACTTAAATTCCATGTATTATTTTCATGAGAAATTCTAATAAAAAAACCTGTTAGCTACATGCTCATGAAGAAAAGCACCATCACCAATTCATAATCCGCTAAGGTGCCGCCAGGGTAATGACAACACGAAAACAAGTGAAATTCAGAACTAATAGTAATTCAGAGTTGACATCGCCGATAAGTTTGCACCAGACGGACGTATCTCATGACCAATAATTTGACAGGTGACACTGGGCCATCCATCCCCGAAATTCTTTTGACCAGCTTATTTGTGAGGAAATGAAAGAAAAAAAAGCACAATGATGTTATGCAGTAGTAAACTCCGCCTATGTCTTCTAGGCATAGCCGGTCCCAAGCCCGGGTAAAGGAGGAGGGTTGTGATAGGCTTGGCGAGCCAACGTAAAAACTAGCCAGTCCCATAGGTATGAAACCCATTTGAGCGAGAATAGTACTAGGATGGGTGACCTCCTAGGAAGTCCTCGTGAAAGGGTTTCATATCTAAGGGTTGTGATAGGCTTGGCGAGCCAATGTAAAAACTAGCCAGTCTTTTGGGTATGAAACCCATTTGGGCGAGAGTAGTACTAGGATGGGTGACCTCCTGGGAAGTCCTCGTGAAAGGATTTCATATCTAGCCTACCCCAACTTGTTTGGGATAAAAGGTTTCGTAAGAATAAGATGTTATGCAGTAGTAGTGATTAATTCCCATTGTTACCTTGAAGTCTTCCGAGATGGCGTCGTAGAAGCTAGACCACGAGGTGATGTCGTCGAACTGCAGGATTGGTGCAGAGGACGCCAAGGCCCCCATGGCGACATGAGGATACTTGAGCCTGAACCATGAAGCTAGCACTAGAAACAATAGGCATAAAATAATTTACTCCTCTGACAACATTCTTAATTAGTGTAGATTAGCTCATCCTAATTTTCTCTTGAAAAATTGTCCACCCTCATGTTGCACGCATGGATATATAGTACACGGAGACACGTTAGTGATTGACTTACTGCCGCCGTAGGAGCCGCCGAAGACGATGACGGGGGCATCGACGGCGGAGAGGTTCTGCTTGAGGCTGGTGATGAGGACGGCGAAGTCGGCAAGTGCCTGCGTGGACGTCAGGTAACCGAGCGTGTCTGGCGACCTGTACGAGTCGTTCCCGAACGGGATCGACTCCCCGTAGAACCGATGCTGACAAATGTCAAAAAGTTGAACATGAAAGTTATTGCTGTTACTGATTGGTACTTTAGTAGTAGGACAACAAAACTGCCTACAAAAGTGATTGCTGCTCAATGGTGTCTTGTCTGGAGGGAACCAATAGGACAACTAAATTTTGGACGAGGGGCAGAAAGGGTACCTCGATGAAGACGAGGAGGGCGCCGAACTGGGGCGCGATGTCGAACATGAAGCCGGTGTTGGTGGCGAACCACTCGATGTCGCCCTCGTTGCCGGTGTACACGAACAGCGGGCCGGTGGTGGGTTTCTGCCGCCAGAAGGTGTCGTTGAGGAGGTACTTCTGGGAGAAGAGGTGGGAGGAGTTGGGCGTGAAGGTGAAGTGGTCCAGCTCCTGCAGGAAGTAGTGCGCCGTGAACGGCTCCGCCGTGCCGTTGTCCGTCGCCGCTGCGGCTGAGGCCGTGACGGCGGCGGCGGCGTACCTGCCGCTCGACTGCCTCCGATGCAGGGGAGCGAGTCCCATGGGGAAAAGAAGAGGCTGATGGGTGGGGCGCTTGGAGGGGCTCGCTGCTGTTGCTGGCGCAAACGCTGCGACGAGGAGGAGGAACAGCGCCAGGATGACAACGGGGAGCGAGCAAGAGGCTGCCATTTTTGCCCGTCGGCCCTCCGGTAGTGTGGTGTGGGGTGGGGTTTAAGAAGGCGCGGGTGCGTGAGAGACTGAGACGAGACGGTCGTGTGCGCCCGGGCTCGGGCCTAGGTTTTCTGGGTTGGGCTTTGGTAGGCCTAGCCCGAAGCCCGGCCTGGCCCAACGGATGGCCAGGTATAGCGCCAAATGAGCAATGCTAGACTGAGTTTTTACGTAAATCAACGTGGAGAATTGTGATTTGGGTTAGGGGGAGGAACGACCCACTCCACTGAAATTCGGGGATGAGTGAATCAGTGAATTAGTTGGAAGTGTGTGGCTCAGTGTGTCATTCAACTAAGATTTAACGAAGTTTCATTTAATTCACCAAACATATAAAAAAGAAGAAGGAACAAGTTTAAAAGAAAATTTTGCACGGATATCTCCACATAAGATCTCACGAATAAACTATCAACTGAGACTTGGTTAAATAGGTGTAAACCCGACATACGTAGGTGTAGGATTTTCACTTAATTAACATTGGAGGAGTATATACTCTTGTCTGGTTCGTCAGCCATGGATGCAATGGACGAACCCGGGTAGAGAAACAGACAAAAGAACTCGCACGCTCCTCGGGCGCTTCCGCGAGCGACCAGGAGCGAACCATACCTGTCATGAGCGTCACACTCCTGCACCCCTCCTCCCTAGACGCCGCCGGTAGGCGTCGCCGGGGCCATTTCTTTCTCCCGCTCGGGGTGGGGCGGTGCAGACGGCCACTCCCACTACTAGAAAAACACTTATAGATAGAAGTTTACGTAGCGTTTGTTTATAACCCCACGCTACTACTAGTTAGTAGTAGCGCTGGCTATAAAGAGCGCTATTGGTATCAGTTAGCAACATCGCTTGTTACACAGCACCATGCTACTGCTAAGTGTAATACACCAAACCCCGGTCAAAAAATAGCAGCAGCGTCTATCGTCCAACCTGCGCTACAACTAGTGGGCCTAGCAGTAGCCCTGGCCCATTTCCCGCGCTGCTGTTAAGCCCACTAACCCCCGGCGCCCCCCGGCCCGACCAGCCTCATCTCACTCTCACTCACACTCCCACACTCCGGCCCTCTCGATCCCCCGCGCGCCGCCGTATACCCCCGCACTGCCGTCCCCCGCGCTGGCCCTCCTCCCTGCGTCGGCCACCCTCCTCCGCCCGCCGCCCCGGCCCCCGCGCCGGCCCTCCTCCACCGAGAGGTACTCCTCCCTCCTTTCTCCTCCTCCCTCCCTCCCTAGTTATAGTTATTAGAGTAGTTATTTTGAATTTTGTAGTTGAAAAAATGTAGGTTATTAGAATAATTTAGGTTATGCATGATCGAACCCTTGCTTGGACAGATTAGGTATGAACCCTAGTTAATTCGTATGAACCCTAGGTTTTTAAATTTAGCTAGGTTTTAAAGTTAGGACAGAAATTTAGCTATGTTTTTAATTAGGTGTAGTTAATAGAATTTAGGTGTTTTAAGTGTATTTAAAAGAGTTTTAGGTGTTTTAGTTGTTGTAGGTGTAGTTAACAGAATTTTAGGTGTTTTAGTTGTTTTAGGTGTAGTTAACAGAATTCTAGGTATTTTTTTAGTTAAAGCAATTGTTGTTATTTTTTAGTTAAAGCAATTTTTCCTGTTATATGCAAATTTGCAGTGGACATGTCATATTTTTCCGAGTGGCCTATGTTTTGCCAGAAATGTCAATTCGTTTACATTCTGGCAAATTTCAGGCGATCGATATGTCCTGTTTATAGCAAAGGTCATGCCAAATTTTTCTTATTGTGTTTATTAACTTTGTTTTCATAATTAAGCATTTTGTTCTCGACGTCGACGATGCCTATCCCGCATCCTCGTCATCGACTCGGTGGAGGACTCCTGGTTGAGCCGAGGGGCCATGTTCAGGACTGGGCTCCGCCGGGCTGGTACTGGGTTGTGCTACCTTCTGGTGAGCGCAGCTTAGTGAGGAGCCAGCCCGTCGTAGACCCGGAGCTTCTTTGGTGGCGGCCACGTGGGCCTGCATCGGTGGAGAGGCTTGAGTCCCCCGCGCAGGTGGTACAGCACCGTGTCACGGAGGAGAACGCGCACGTCCAGCGCTACTTGGTTGCGTTGGCGAACGGCCGGTTCTCCAATACCTGGCAGATTCTTTGGGGATCTCACCGGAGCTATGATCCGGTGATGGTTCCTTCTCTTTGGGTGTCCACCGCGGCCCACTAAACCTAGAGGAGCTATTCTTCGAGATGTATTCGTGATATTATATGATGATCTTTGCTACAAACTACTATATATGTATTCATGATGGATTATATGATGATCTTTGCTACAAACTACTACAAACTACAAATTTTAGGTGTTTTAGTTGTTATATGATGATCTTTGCTACAAACTACTATATATGTATTCGATGATGGATTATTAATTACCTATTAGGAAATGTCTGACGACGAAAGGGAATTCGCTATGTGCGAGTACTGCGAAGATAAGCGCGGTCTGTGCGACAGGCCTCACTTGGTAGAATGTCGGCGCTTCAGCATCAAGCTCCAAGAGACCTTCGATGTTGAAGCGGTACGCAACGACGACAAGTGTTTTTTGTTATTTTTTGCACGACTTCTCTGCTTCTTCAACATGTAATTTCCGTATTTTATAATTCAACTAGCTTATCCCATGCCATGCAAGACGCTATGTCTTGGAGAAGATGAGTTTTGAAGGTCATGAAAGAATGGAGACAAAGATAATTCAACTAAGGACCCATCATGGTTATGATTTTGCTGTAAATCTATACAATTCTGTGAACTCATCCAATTTTGGTTGCCTGAATTGGGAAGCCCTTTGCAAGGCGTATGATTTTCATGAGGGTATGCTTCTCACCATCGATCTTGGTGATCCTGACATCAACGAAAATGATATGACCATTTGGGTCCTTGTTGACACGCTTCCAGTTCTACCGCTGTGTGAGTTTCTTAAACATATTTACTAAGTAATTAATATTGTTTATTTCAAAATATTTGACAGTTTATTTCCATTGACAACTTAGTTTCATTCTTCAAAAAATGTATGGAAAATGCTAGACAGAACCTACTACTACAATGATGAAGCACAATTAACTTATAAGGAGCAAGATGGTCTTATCGCATTTTTCACTGATATTGAGAATTACAATAGCTATTATCAAACTCCTCCACATTATGGTCAATACATGCCACTAGTGCACGTGTTGAACTACGGTAACATCAGTGGAGATCTCATGGTAAGATTTTCAACTATTACGACATCTGTGCATCTTTTGCATAAATTCTTCTAAAACTAAACTATATTGCTAACTACAAAGTTATTACTATGTTTTTGAACAGAAAATCCCAATGGATTGTGTGCCTCATCTGATGTTGACGAGAGGTCGCGTTAATGTTATGAGCTTACGGCCACCATGGCCAGGTTAGCCGCAGTATCCACATCACTCATGTCCATACCGGATTCCTAAAAGCGAGGAAGCCATGATAATAGATGATTTCAAAAAATGTTTGAACCATCGTAGAGAGCTACTTGGAAGCAACATTGTGCGTAGGCCAAGACTTGGAGACAAGATGATCTCCATTCTTTATTATGGAGAGTCAATTTTCCTTAATGCAGCGTCAATGCCTATCTTGTTTTATGATATTTTACCTAAGAGAGGGTAGAGTAGGTCCTATGAGAGGAGTAGGTCGTAGCTAGAATGTGTTATTATGTGCTACAATGTGTTAGAGTTGATGATGATGATGATGAGGAGTTGTGATTATGACTAGTGACCAACTTGTTATATGATGTCTCATTGACGAACATTGTTTGATGATGATGACAAATGGTAATGAATATGTTATTTAAACAGACTAGTTCATGATGAGTTGTTATTGTATAAAAGATATATCTGTTTAAACATGTACATCGCCAAAATGCTAAAAAAACATAAATGTTAGCAGTAGCACGGGCCTGAAAACGCGCTACTATTACTTGAACTTACCAGTAGCGCTGGCCTAAAAACACGCTACTGCTACAAAATAGCTGTAGCGCCGTAGCAGTAGCGCTAGTGCCTGCGCTACTGGTAGCTAAAAAACCAGCGCTACTGGTAAGCATTTTCCTAGTAATGTCCGGCGGGTGCTCAGGCTCGGGCACGATGCTCGTTCATGGCGGGCGCTCAGGCTCAGGCGCGGGATGGCCACTCAGGCTGGCGCGGAACTGAAGCGGGTGTGTGCATCGTGATGCGCTCTGGATCTGCGGCCCGTGACGGCGGCGATGCAAGGGGGTTGTGCAGAGGCACGCCAGCGACGCGAGGTGGTTGTGCAGAGGCATGATAGAGAGGCGAGGTGGCCATGGAGCGAAACAGCGGTGGCGCCGGGTGGCCCAGCCAGCGCAGATCTGTCAGGTGTGCTTCACTTCGTGGCACGGGGCGATTCTGCGGCTTGGACGAGGCTGTGCAGGAGGCATGGTCACGTTTCAAGTCCGTAGGAGACCCGAGGGCCTGATGGTCGTCACACGATGGCCCGCCAGGATACTGCAGCTCTAGTGACGTTGCAGCTTCGGTGGTGCGGCTCGATGGCCAGGGCGGCGCGGAAGGGCAGCTCCATGTGGGGTGTGCAACGGGACTAGTCTCCAGCAGGCGCGAGATGGCGCGCATGGTGCGTGTCGGCGCACCTGTTGTATGTATGCTGGTCGGAACCATGGCGGTTCTTGGCGACGGGCAGTGCCCCTCTGCTTCCTGCCGGCATGGTGCTCGGTAGGGCATAGTGGCTCACTGGTAGAAAAAGGGCCTATAGTTCCGGTTCGTAAGGGCCTTTAGTCCCGGTTCCCCCGACCCTTTAGTCCCGGTTCAATCCAGAACCGGGACTGATGGGCCTCCACGTGGGCAGTGCGCAGAGCCCAGGCAGGAGACCCTTTGGTCCTGGTTGGTGGCACCAATCGGGATCAATAGG